AACCCACAGGTGACCATCGAGTGATCTTCCAGAGACAGTAAGTCACATGAGAGGAGAGTGCCCATCCTTCTCCTGCGAAGCGGCTGGTGGATTTGAACCAAGTACAAAGACTATTGCAGCACCGGCTTCTTAACACTAGGCCACTAGAGCTCTAGATAAGAAATTATGTCTACATAACCACAAAGAATGCTGTAGTCATTGTCTTATATAGTATTCGTCCTTTGTGAAACCTATACTTGGACCAAGAGGCAGTCGTCAGAACAGAGCAAGGAGACACTACATGGTTCAAAATCAAGAAGGGGGTTCGTCAGGGATGTATTTTGTCTCCATACCTTTTCAATCTGTATACAGAACAGATCATCTGAGACGCTGGGCTGTACAAAGAGGAATGTGGCATCAGGATTGGTGGAAGAGTCATCAACAACCTGTGTTACGCAGATAACACAACACTGCTTGCTGAAACTGAGGAGGACCTGAAGCGCTTGCTGCAGAAGGTCAAGGACTACAGTCTTCAATTGAAGATTGAACATGAATTGAAGCTCAATATCAAGAAAACAAAGATTCTCACCACTGGGCCAATTGGCAGCATCAGTATGGATGGTGAAGAGATTGAGATAGTGAACAGTTTTAGTTTGCTTGGCTCCACAATAAATACTATTGGTAACAGCAGCCAGGAAATCAAGAGACGAATTGTATTAGGAAGGTCGCTGTGAGGGAGCTCTCAAGAGTACTGAAGAGCAACGACATCAGGCTGGAGACTAAGGTGAGCCTGATCCGGGCTGTAGTCTTCGCAATTACGTGCTATGCATCAGAGAGCTGGACAGTGAATAGGGTTGAGAGAAAGAGAATTGATGCCTTTGAGCTGTGTGCTGGAGAAGAGTGTTGAATATACCATGAACTGCTAGAAGAGGTTTGTCCTGGAGAAGGTGAAGGCGGAATGCTCCTTTGGAGTCAAGGATTCTGAAGCTTCGTCTGACATACTTTGGGCATGTTGCAAGGAGGGACTGGTCCTTGGAGAGGGACATCACATTTGGCAGAGTGGAGGGGCGGTGAAGGAGAGGAAGACCTTTGATGAGATGGATTGATTCTGTGACTGGAGTGGTAGGAATAAGTGCGTTTGAGATGGCTAGGTTGGCACAGGATAGAACGGCGTTTAGAGCTCTTGTACATAGGGTTGCTATGAGTAGCAAACGACTCGATGGCACCTAACAACAACCACCACCACCACCTTTGTGATTGCCTTATGCCATCCAGCATCATTTTTTCTAGATGCATCCATGTTATGCAGTGTTTGGCAAATTCTTTGGTTTAGAGTTACGTAGTCCTGCATTGTGTGAATGTACTGTATATATAATCTCTTTAAATATTCTATTATAAAAAAGTAAGCAAAGGTTTGCATACAGATAGATGCATTCTTAGGCAGTTACTGGGGATGGGAAGGAAGGGAGGGGAATAAGAATGAATAACTATATAATCATCAGTCAAGTCACTGCTATTAAGGTAGAAGCCACTCAGAGCTGACAGTTCAGCTAGTTTCTGGAGGTTGTAAATCCACGAGCAGAGATCATCCATCTTTCTCTCTGGGAGTGGCTGATGGATTGAACCAACAGAGAGGAAAGGTCTTCAGGCTAAAAGTGCAGTTCTTCAGGGACTAACCACTTACTGAATTAGGTGAAGGGATGAGCAATATACAATAAGGAAATTATTTGATATTGTAATCGATTAATTACAATCAATTTTCTAAAACAGTGTATGTAAGTGAATGAAAAATCAAGACGATTTGTGTTCATTCAAATAATAGTGAAATAAACATTTTAATAGTCATACAACAAATCAAAAGACGTGTGGCACTGGGAGAATTGGTCGCTATAGACCTCCAAAGTCCCAAAGAGCAAGGATATCACTTTAAAGACTAGAGTGTGCCTGATCCAAGCCACAGTATTTTCAATTACTGCCTATGCATCTGAAAGTTGGACACTGAATAAGGATGAAAAGAGAAAAATAGACAGGTCTGTCTTGGAGGAAGTGTACCCAGATTACTCCTTAGAGACAAGGATAGTGAAACTTCATCTCACATACTTTGGGTACGTTGTCAGAGGAGGCCACTCTTTGAAAACAGACAGCATGCACGGAACAGTGGAGGATCAGAGAAAGAGAGGAAGACCCTTAATGAGATGGACTGGCACGTGACTCCGATGGGCTTGACGATGGCGCAGGATAAGGCGAGGGTCTGATCTGTTATTCACAGAGTTGTTATTACAGTCAGCCTGATGACACATCACCAACAACAGCATCATAGTTCATGTAATTAAAAGAGAATTTGGATCACACAAATAAGCAACACAGAATACAGTAACCAGAAAACACAACTGCTTTGAAACGATATGTAGTTGTAATATTCACAGCCTTTCTGAAACATGACAATCATAAAAGGGTTATTCAGAAGCCAAGAGAATGTGGTTAATTTAACAAAAGAAGGACAACATAATGAATTAACCAAACAGCATCCCATTTATAACTGCTAACACTGACAGTCTCAATTCATAAAGGGTTTTCTTTATTTTCACTTTCAAGAACCCAACACTGAGTCCTTTAACTTCTCCTTCCCTCCGCACTCTATTTTCCTAATAAAAATGAGCAAGCTGAGGTGGAATGGTACCTGGCATCTACATGACTACTTACTTCTCCCACATTTTAGGATGTTTTGCCCCAAATCTGGGGCCCTCCCCTTTATTGAGCATTACTTCCTTTTCCAGGGACTAGTCTTTCCTGCTTAGATGTGCAAAATACATGAGATGAAGTACTTAGCGCCTACTGTGTTCAACTATTCGCTTTAATGACAGACTTCAGGTTAACAACAGAAATTACATTTAATACACAAATTTAAAGATTTTTAAAGAGACAAAAATCAAACAATGTGCTGCCTAGGAATAGTCTTGACTGTGACCTATTACCCAGTTAAAGTTATTGTCATAAACTGATTTCAGTTTCTCTTTAGTTACTGAAGCAGAGGAGTGATTTAGAAGAAAAAAGTTTCAGGTTGTAAAACTCGTGCAAATTAGGCAACTGTCACTATGAGCCACAAGAGGGCAGTAGTTTTAAAGCCTGAGTTTGGAAAGGATTAACTTGAGGGACAATTCAAATTATTGAGGAGGTGAACCAGAAATTTTAACAATAATAAAATAGAACTTAGAAATGATTATGGTAGAGTTTTCATGTACAATTTTAGGGCTGGTGTGGAGCTAAGAGAAGTCTCTTCAGAAATTTGTTTTCTTCTATATCAATCATGAAGGGAGCCCATTAATCCAATAGTAAGGTGTTCTACTGCCAACACTAACGCAGGCAGTTTAAATCCACCTGTTGCGCTGAGAAAAATGGGTTGTGTCCTACCATGTGATTCATAAGAAAACTCACTGGAGGTTAGTTATGAGTTGGTTTTGATTCCACAGCAATGAGTTAATTTAGCTAGTTATATACTCTTTATCTAGTCATCAATAATAGAAAAAGTATATCCAGTTTCACTGCACCCTTCATTCTTATACTGAATGTAAGAAATTAGTTTGAGTACACTAATCCAAATTTCCAAGACATCTTCTTAAAATAGACAAATATTTTCTTTTATATGGATAACTCTGAGAAGAATAGGAATCCCAGAACACTTGATTGTGCTTATGCAAAACCTATCCTTGGAGCAGGAGGCTGTCGTCAGAACATAGCAAGGAAACACTGCATGGTTCAAAATTGGGAAGGGTGTATTCCGGGGATGTGTCCTGTCTCCATACCTTTTCAACCTGTATGCAGAACAGATTATCCAGGAGGCTGGGCTCTATGAGGAGAAGTGTGGCATCAGGATTGGAGGTAGACTCATCAACAACCTGCATTATGCAGATAACACAACTCTGCTTGCTGAAACTGAGGAAGACCTGAAGCGCTTGCTGCAGAGGGTCAAGGACTGCAGCCTTCTGTATGGATTGAGGCTCATTGTCAAGAAGACAAAGATTCTCACCACTGGACCAACTGGCACCATCAGGATAGATGGTGAGAGATCGAGATTGTTAACAACTTTAGTCAGCTTGGCTCCACGGTCAACACTCTTGGCCCCAGTAGCCAGGAAATTAAAAGACATATTGCCATGGGAAAGTCTGCTGTTAGGGACCTCTCCAAAGTACTGAAGAGCAATGGTGTCACTCTGGAGACTAAGGTGCATCTGATACAGGCTATGGTCTTTGTAATCACTTGTTAGGCATCAGAGAGTTGGACAATGACTAGGGAGGATAGGAGAGTTGATGCCTTTGAGCTGTGATGCTGGAGAAGAGTGTTGAGTATACCATGGACTGGTAGGAGAACAAGCAAGTTCATCCTGAAGAGGGTGAAGCCAGGATGCTCCTTTGTCTGACACTGACATAATGAAGTAGGTGTGTTGGAGACCAAAATATTGGGAAGGGATAAAGCAGGGTTTAGGGCTGTTGTACATAGAGTCACTATCCTGTGACAACACCTAAAAGCAACAACAAGCCGTCAGGGACCTCTCCAGAGTCCTGGAAGAGCAACAACATCAAACTGGAGATTAAGATGCACCTGATCCAGGCCCTAGTCTTCAATTGCTTGCAATGCACCAGAGAGTTGGACAATGATTAGGGAGGATAGAAAGAGAATTGATACCTTTGAACTGTGGTGCTGAAGAAGAGTGTTGAATATACCATGGACTGCTAGAACAAACACGTTCATCCCAGAGAGGGTGAAACAAAGCTGCTCCTTGGAGGCAAGGATTCTGAGGCTTCGTCTGACATACTTTGGGAATATTGCAAACAGAGATCAGAACTTGGAGAGGAACATCATGCTTGAAAGGGTGAAGGGACAGAGAAGGAGCAGAAGACCCTCAGTGAGATGGATTGATTTAGTGACTGGGGTAATAAGTTCAGTTGTGTCAGAGACTCCACGGCACATAACAACAACAAATCAAACATGAATATACTATGCAAAGCCAATGTCAAACTCACATTCAAGTGCATTATAAAGAAGTTCAAAATCTTCTTTTGTCTTAGGATGATGTCTCCGGTCATAGTCCATTTTCAGTGCTTCTTCTTTTTCTCTTTTCTTCCTTAGTTCTTCTTGACGTTCCCACTCCTCTCTCAACTTTTTCTGCCTTTTTAACTCCTTTACCAAGGTTTTTGCATGCCATTGCCTATAGTAAGTCTGTAACACTATTACCTGCAATGGAATGGAAAGAAATTTAAAAGAGCCAATTGGAGCTCTTTGATCAAACTATAAAGAAAAGAAGTGGGGTGGATTCCAGTTCTGTAAAAAGCGCCAACACCTGGAGTCTCACTTAACCTCTAGACCTGAAAGTCTCGGTACACTCTCACATGAAGGCGCGGATATCCTGAACATCACTGCTATTCGACTTTGAAAGTCAGGGAATACACCTTCCTGGGGGCAATGAGTACAATGCCAGAAAGTTCAAAGGCAGCCACCGGGGCAGCTAACACGCCCACCCCCACTGCTGCCGAGTCCATTCTGACTCACCGCCCTCCACAGTTTTCTGAGGCTGTAAACCTTCACCAAAGGAGATGCTCCTCTTTCTCCTGCAGAATGGCTGGCAGGTTTGAACCCCCAAGCTTTACATTAGCAGCCCAGAGATTAACACTTCAGAAAACTATTTCTCAACCTAGAATCAACCTTCTCCAGCCTCTGACTTGTAGTGACTCTGTACAACAGCACAAAACCGTGTCCTATCCTGTAGTATCCTCATAATCCCTATGAAACCCTATCCTATCCCCCAGCACCCCATAATCCCTGTGAAACCCTATCCTATCCCCCAGCATCCCATAATCCCTGTGAAACCCTATCCTATCCCCCAGCACCCCATAATCCCTGTGAAACCCGGTCCTATCCAGCATCATCCTCATAATCCCATTTCTGCTTAAACCCATTATTGTAGTCACTATAAACCCATCTCTTTCAAGGCCTTCCTCTCCTTCACTGACTCTGCTTTTCCAAGCGTGATACCCACTTAGTGCCTTGAGGTGGCAGCTCTTCCCTGGTACTCTGAGCACTTGGAAGAGACAAGAACTCCAGACATTCCAAATTATGCAAACAAGCTCCACCAGACAGGTTAGAGAAACTTCCTGCCACGTAACAGAAGAATACGCTCCCAAACTAAAGGCAGACCTGGTGAGCTCTGGTGGCCTAGAGGTAAGAAACTATTGCAATGCCCAAGGCATGCAGTTCGAATCCACCTGCTGCTCCGCGGGAGTCTGGGCAGTCCTCCTCCCATGTGGCTAACTGCCTCTGAAAACCCGGCGGAGGCTCCGCAGTGGGTCGGTTCTGACTCGATGGCACTCAACAACAACAAAACCACACCCGAGTTCTCCACAGAAAGAGTCCATGTAGTTTCAAATATATCACAGTAGAGTTTCAAAATATTAGAGATTAAATGAAAATGCTAAAAGCTTCTGGCAGGGGAAAAAAAAATGAAACTAAGAACGAGAATCAAATTACCATTTGAACTTTAGGCAACTACAAGTCCAAAGTTAGGGGGGGAAATATTTTTTAAAACAAGCTTGAACCTAAGCTTCTACAACCACCCAAACTAAAATGAAGATATCAGGGGTCAGTCAGGAAACACTTACATAGCTCACCTCCCATGCTTATTTCAGAAGAAATGACTAGAGAGTTTGCTCAAGGAAGAAGCCCTCATGGTGCAGAGGTTAAGTACGTGCTTGGCTGCTAAGTGAAAGGTCTTCAGTTCTAACCCACCCGCTAATCGACAGGAGGATGATGTAGCACTTGGTTTCTGGAAAGACTTCATCCTTGAAACCTTACAGAGTATTTATTTCTACCCTGTCTGAGGCGGTTGCTGGGAACTCTGAGTCAGAATCAGTTCAAGCAGAGATTTATAGTTGAGGGGAAAAAAACAAGAAATATGAGGGGGAAAGTTAGAACAGTAAGCAAAACCCCCAAAGTTGTTAAGTACATTTTCTTTTAAATGATATATTATGCAATTGCAAAATATTTATCAATAAATACTAAGTATTAAACTGAAAACCAGCTTTGCCGTGAATAAAGTCAAGAGAATATAAGCAGACGGGGCTGGCTGGTAGTCCAAGAATGTAGGGTGTTAAGGTGGCTTGTTCTTTATTCAAGGAGGAAGTTGGAGACAAGCCCTGTTTTATTTACTAGTGAGATGTGACTCACATCCAGGCAGGACCTGTTCTGTTCCAGTCTCATGAGGCCTAGAGACGCATCCATAGACACAGACAGGTACACAGAGCAGTTGGCAGCGAAATTTCATTTTTGTAGACATCCACAATAAAATTCTTACCGCTGCTAATCTTTCCAAGTGGTACTCTTCCGCTGTGAAATATATTCCTGGTGCTATCAGTTTATCAGTCATATTCGATACATATACACCAATTTTAGTCATCTGTGTGGATGTTGTATTTACAGTTTGTTGGTATTTTTCCCTCACACAAACTGTCTAAAAGAAAAACAGAAACATTTAAATGAGTATCTGCTACAAACACTATTCCTAGTCTAGCCACACATTGAGCATATAACTCAAAAAGCCAAACTATAGGCAGAGAAACAAGGCATCCTGACTGGAGGGAAAAGTCATTAACCCCCTGTGCAGGCAACAGCTTTGCAGAAGGTGAAGAAGACTTGAAGCACTTACCGATGACGTTTAAAGACCACAGTCTTCAGTAGGAACTCTATATCAAGAAAACAAAAATCCTCACAACTAAGCCAACAAACAACATCACAATACATGTTGAAGAAAAGAGTGAAGCCGTCAAAGATTTCATTTGACTTGGATCCAGAATCAACCACACATGCAGGCAGCAGCCAGAAAGCCAAGCAGTATATTGCAATGGGCATTTCTGCCGCTAAGGACACCTTTCAAGGGCTGAAGGGGAAGGAGGGAAGTTTCAGGCTTAAGATGTCATGCATCTGACCCAATTCGTGGCATTTTTTATTGATCATATGCATAAGGAAGACTGAAGAATATTTCTTGCCTTTGGCAAAGAATACTGATATACCATGAATTGCCAAAAACAACCAAATCTGTCTTGGGAAAAAGCACAGCCAGAATGTTCCTCAGAAGTGAGGATGGTGACGCTTTGCAAGTAATTGGGCTTGTTATCATGAAGGGCCAATCCCTGGAAAGAGACATCGTTCCTGGTAAAGTGGAGTCAGTGCAAAATGAGAAGACCTTCAATGAGATGGATTGACACAGAGACAGCAGCAATGGGCTGAAGCCGTCAGGATGGCACAGAATGGGCCGTGTTGTACACAGCGTCACCAGGAGTCACAGCCAATTTGATGGCACCGAACAGTAATGGCATATAAACCTAGGAAGGCCTGTGGGTACAGCTGTCCTTAAAGAATCTGACTGCTAACCAAGCCAGGGGCTTGGATACTCAGAGGAAGACGAGACCATTTGTTTTCCTAAAATGTATAACCTTAGAAATCCTATGAGCAGTTTAATTTGTCCTGCAGGATTACGATGAGTTGGAGTCAACTTGATGACAATAGTTTTGGGTTCAGAGATAGATAGATAGATAGATAGACAGATGTAGAGATAGACAGATATAGAGATAGATGATAGATATAAAGATAGATGATAGATACATATATACATACATACATACATACACAGATATAGAGATAGATGATAGGTAGGTAGGTAGGTAGGTAGGTAGATAGATAGATCATAGACATAGATGTCACTGTTGTTAAGTGCCATTGGGTCAACTCCAATTCATAGCTACCCAATGAACAACAGATAGAAACCTTGCCTGATCCTTGACCACCTTCAGTCATCTGTGCTCAAGGCCATTGCTGCAGTCACTGTGAGGATCCATGTCACTGAGGCTCTTCCTCTCCTTATCTAACCCTTAACCTTTCCAAGCAAGCTGTCCTTTCTAAGAGACTGAGTCCTCTTGATAACACATCCAAAGGGTGTCAGATGAAGCCTCGGCACCCTTGCCTCTAAGGAACACCCTGGGTGCACTTCTCCCAAGGCAGATTTGTTGTCCTTTCAGCAGTCCACATCAGATTCAATATTCTTTGCTAATATCACAAATCAAAGATATCAGTCCTTATTCAATCTTCCTTATTCATTGTCCAACTTTCACAGGCATATGATGAAACAGAAAATGCTAAGTCTTGGGTCAAGTGCATTTTAGTTTTTAAATTGAGATCCTACCTTTACAGCACTTTAAAGAGACCCTTGACAATAGATTTAACCAGAGTGTTAAGGCTTTGATTTCTTGACTGACTGTGAAACCAAGTAAAAAGAAATCTTGCTCAACTTCACTCTTTTCTCTTATCACGATGTTGCTTATTCCAGTTATGAGGATTTAAGGTTTCTTTTTCATTTCTTTTCATTCAATCATTCATATACATTTTGTCATATAATGTTAATTATAATGGTATGATATTATTATTTTAATCATGTAATCAAATCCTAACTGGACCTTCCCTTCCCCTGTAATCTGTACTGAAGACTATGATCTTTGAGCTTTTCTTTTTTTTATATTAAATTTTATTAATTAATTAATTTTAATGAACATTTACGGTTTTTGAGCTTTTCCAGTAACTCCTTCAAGGGGATTATGGATATAAGATTGTGGCATCTGCATACCACAGGTTGTGGCTAAGTCTTCTTGCCAATCTAAAGCCGTATTCTTCTTCCTTTAGTTCAGCTTCTTTGATTACTTGCTGAACAAATGGTGAAAGGGTACAACCATGGTGCACATCTTCCCTGATTTTAGACTATGCAGTGTACCCTCTATCTGTTCAAATGGCTGTTCCTTGGTTCAAGTACAACTTCCACAGGAGCACAAGTGTGTGTTCTGGATTCCCATTCTTCTCAGTATGCCTCATAATTATATAACATATACATATTTGTACATAAATATGAATGAATGGAAGGTAATACTTCCATACATATTTAATTTTTCTTTACTCTCTTAATACAATTACTTGGAAAAAAGTTGAGAGAATATCATGATTTTTTTTTTTCATTCCATGACTTCAAAATCCCACAGGAAAACAAACTATCACCTGTGTCTCCCTGCAAAACACATCCTTCTTTTCCTCTAGCTTCTTTGGGACAGTTTGTGTTCCAGCATTGTGATACTCTGTCTTTGTTTTCTTATGTCTGAATCCACCAAGAAAAGGTTTATGAAAGTCACATTGTACAATCTCAACAGGTACATCTTCATAGCATTCAAAGCCTGAGGAGATAAAATCAAGACCAAATCCAAGTTCAACCACAGGGAGAGGCTAAAACACGTTCTGTAAAAAGATCTCAAGATACTAACCAGTTTCCACTCTGACAGTTATGAATTTAGAACCATTACTTAGGCCATGCACCCGTTTGATTGGATACAGCACTTGGTTGGTGGATGAGATTTCCATTGTGACAGTGTCCTGGGGCTTAAATCCAAGTTGAAGGAGGTTCTCTTGATTTTTAAGAATTTTTCCTTTTAAAAAAATGAGATAAAAAGTTTTATGACTAAGAAATGGATAGAAACCCCCAAACCCACTAATATTGGGTATATTTCATTCACAGCAACCACATAGGTCAAGAGTAGAACTGTCCAGAAGGTTCAGAGACAGTTATCTGCTACAAGAGCCAGCTTTCTCACCCAGAGGGGCAGCTAGTGTATTTGAAACGCAAGGTTTCAGTTAGAAACTCAACATTTAGTCCACTACATCACCAGGGCTTCAAAAATATATGTGTGTGTGTGTGTCTGTCTGTCTTGTGGCCCAGTTGTAAGAAGCAGCACTGTAATGCCAAAGGCAGGCAGTTCAAATCCACTAGCAGCTCTGTGGAAGAAGGATGGCAATCTCCTGTCTTACAATTTACTGCCTCTGAAAACCTATCCGAGGACCAGCTAGGAGTCTGTTCTTAGTCAATGGTACATAATAACAATATATACATACACGCACTCATCTTAAGGAGATAGAAAACATTAAGGGGACTTGTATGAATGTATATAATTTGAATACCAATTAGAATATCAGTAATGTTCACCTCTTACTGTAACGTTAGTACAGAAAATTCTACAGTGAAGAATTAAAGTGAGGAGCAAGAATGTCACATTATAAAAAAAGTGAACATCTCTCACCTCATCATAACCACAAATTTATAATAACTGTAAGACTGTACAAATATATTTTTTTACCTTCACGAATTTGCATGTCATCCTTGTGCAGGGGCCATGCCAATCCTCTCTGTATCATTCCAAATTTAGTATATGTGCTGCCAAAGTGAGCACAAAACTGTAAAAACATTTTTAATTAAAATTACATTCTGTAATCTGCTCCATCCTGCAGACAGTGAAGCCAAGTTGCTGTCTGGAGACAAGGGTTTTGAAGCTCCAGTTCACATATTTTGGGCTTGTTGCCAAGAGGAACCAGTCCTTGGAGAAGGACATCATGCTTGGATGTGGAACAACAACATAGGAGAAGATGCCAGACAAGATGGATTGGCACAGTGGTATTAGGGGAAAGTGCGTCAGAGACAATGAGATTGGCTCAGGATAGGACAGGGCTCATTGCTGTTAGGTGTGGGATTGCTATGAGTCGCAGATGACTAGATGACACTTAACAACAATCTGAGCAGAATCATATTCTTCACTTAACTCTGTAAGAAGTCTGGTGTACAAAATCTAAGCAGAGCACATATCCACATAGGGTAAGTCTGTTTTAATACAAAATTCCCCTTCCCCTGTATAGAAAAGCATGTTGTTGTTGTTGTTGTTGTTGTTGTTCTTGTCATGTGCCGTTGAGTCACTTGCAACTCATAGTGACCCTATGTACAACAGCCCTGAACCCTGCTCTATCCTCTGCCAATCACACTGCCTCCAACACACCCATCCCGATTACCCCAGTCACTGAATCAATCCACCTCATACAGGGTCTTCCCCTTC